CCCCCCCCCCCAGTGAGCTTCAATTATAAAAGTAGCTCATTATTATATCGTTATTTCTTGTTGTGTTTGTTATATAATATACATGTATGTATGTATGTATGTATGTATGTATGTATGTATGTATGTATGTATGTATGTATGTATGTATGTATGTATGCATGCAGATTACCTGTTGTTTTATTCTGTGTTCCAGCTGTGCTGAAGATATAGTCCAACTGTTTGTTTCCTGAGTTCTAGCAAGACGGATATGTTAGTGTTGGGATTACGGTGAGAGTCCTTTTGTTCTCTTGCTGTACCGTACTACTGTGACCGTCCAGTATTTCAGTTCACTCTCTGTAATTTATAGTTATAGTTATAGTGATAGTCCATCTGTCCAAGTTCCATACAATAGTGGTCGTCCAGTTTTAGTTTTCTTTTAGATTTAGACAAGTGTTTAACTGCTTCATGAAATGAAATCTCTTTTTTCTACTGCTTTACCAGGGAGGTTTCTGGATTCACGCATTCTTTGTTGGTGGGTTTTCGTGTGTGGTTTGTTTCTTCTTTTTTTCTCAAATTTCTATTGTCCTTAAAGTAGCTCTCCTCTTCTTTTTTTTTCTTGTCTATGTTACTCTCTTGTAACTCCTCTATTCTTCTTAAGCACTTATATATTAATATTATGATCCTGTTATGTTGCAAGTTCTGTAAAACTATTACTATAAAAACTAAAACTAAATATGTTCTTTTGTAGCAAGAGTAAGTATGTCCTGTATTGTGGGACCGCTTTGTTCCGTCTCTTCACCGTCATGAGATTTTTATTTACTTGCTCTGCCATAGTGGATTGTATTTTGTCATTTAATAATTTACCGTAATGAATGATTTTTTTGAAAACTCACTTTACCATAATTGACCATTTCCCTCACTTTACTGTAATTGACTATTTTCCCTCACTTTAAAAATGGCGAGTATTTGTTCACTCATTGAGTGACGAGAAAGATTGTGTATAAATATCTATTTAAAATTATACATGATGGATCCCTCCTCTGTTTGAGAGTAAGAGACCAAAAAATTCGACTTCAATATCTCCTGTAATATCTTATAGTTTATAGCAAGTAGAATGCTGTTTCAGGAGTATCTTGAAATTTCCATTTTTTATGATAAACTGAGATGGGTACTGGATACATATGATGAACGTAGTTGAGAGGATAAAACTATATATGTGAGGCAGTGTGATGGAATCATGCTCTCGTCAATTTTTGGGCATATTGAGTTATTGGTATCATCTTAAAGCTCGTTCATTTGTCTTGCTTTCAATGAAAAAATTACCCATCCATCTTCAATAAAAGTGGATATATTTTGGATTGAAGGAGTTGGGGGGTCACCTGGTTAAAGATGTAAAATTAGCGAGAAAATGGCCGCCAAAGCTTGGTAAATTCCAAAGCTGGAGAGTCCATGGAAACTGTAAATTTATATTTTTGTGCCTTTAATCACCGTTTTCGGTGAAATCCTCAAAGGAATATGTTTGTAAATGGATAAAAGGTGTTGAGCCAAAAAACAAAAAAATTGATAAAAATTGGTATACAATGAGAAAACTGCTGTTTTCTTCGATTTCATTATTTTGACGAGAGCCTGATTCCACCACGCTGCCTCACATATATATATATATACTAACAATAACATGACTTCGACTTTCCGTCGAGAATTTTTCAAGATTGATGATGAAGGTTATATATATATATTTATATATAATTTTTATAAAGATTTAGTGAACGAATTAAAACTACCCGTACTGGTAACGAGAATTGATTTTCTTGCCCAAGTCTCATGTCGGCTCACCCTTGTGAGGAATTTTTGTCCTAAATATGTGTCGCGACACGGTGGAATCAGACGCTTATCAATTTTGGGCATGTGGAGTTATTGGTATCATCTTAAAGCTTGTTCCTTTGTCCTGCTTTCGATGAAAAGAATTTCCATTTTATGTATAATCTTGAATATAAGTAAGATATTGGCAATTGAAGGAGACGGGGGTCACCTGATTTCAGAGGTAAAATTTGCAAGAAAACGCCAAAGTTTAGTTATTTCCTTGCTTGAAAGTCGGGGGAAACTGAAAATGTACCCTTCTTGTGCCTTTAATCAGTGTTTTTCAATAAAAATCCATACAGAAATGTGTTATTTAATGGATATAAAAGATGTTGAGCCAAAACACAAAAATTCAACAACAAAAACCTGCAAAAAAAATGGCAGTTTCTTCATTTTCCTTATTTTGACGAGCGCCTGATTTCACCACCATGTCTCACGTGTATGGGCTGAGGGAGGGCTGTTCCTGTGGGTGTGTACGTAGCGTGTAATGTTTGTACAACTCACTACACTTGTCCACGTAGCTGAAGGCTTATACATCGTGTGTTTGCTAGTCACTCCGACTGGCAGAATGTTATGGTGTGGTGTGGGCTACCACAACTACAATTACAACAATGTATTTTTATGTTTTTTTCCTGGGTATCTGTTGCACTGTGAGTTGATATTAAAGTGATACACTTGTATCTCTAATAAAGTCTTTTAAGAACACATCACCGCTTTTTGTTTTGTTTGTGTGTGTGTGTGTGTGTGTGTGTGTGTGTGTGTGTGTGTGGTTGCTGGGCACTTTGGTGTGGTTTGCTCCTCTGCTTTCCTAACAAACATCTTCTGTCCTTTTAGTTTTAGCTCCTCCGTCCTTCCTTTGAATTACCCTACTGTCTAAGTAGTCACACCATTAATCTTTGACACTTATGCTCTATTTGCGTTGAAAGCGCCGTAAAACTCGCAAGTAAAACATGTTTCATTCTTTTAACAAATAAATCTACATGTATATATATATATTATTTTTTTAAATATTTTTTTTTGCCTTTTTCAGATTAAGAGTGTGAATTCTGACAAAATATTTCTTGAACACAACAGATCTAGGAACTGTAAGTTTTTTTTAATTAAAATTTTTGGCTCAGTAACATTGAACAGCAAGCCAACATCGTGTTGTTTTACCAGGAAGCAATTGAACTTATCTGTGCAAACAGATCCCATTTCATCAACTTTTTTATCCCCAAAGATGTGAATGTAATGACATAATTACAACAAGGGGGGGGG